GGCTTGACAGTCATACCACTATATCAGTCTAAAGGCTTGACAGTAATAAAATTGAGGTTGGGCCTTTGAACTTTTCTAAGAACAAATAATAAGAAGTATGTAGCTCGTGAGCAAGTTCTCATTATTAGCGCTGCAAGCGAAGACAAGCGTTTTTCCACCTCCGAGAAGATTGGGGACAAGTCGGGGAGACGTTTGCCGGGGCCCTGGCAGAAATAATCATCGCCAGGGTTGGACCCCCTGCGAACGTCTAAACGACTCGCGTTGCCTAAGGCTCTTGCCGATCGGTAATAATCAGGCTAAGGAATATCTTGACTGTCTTTGTTTTAACATGACTTTAAAAAGTCGTAATTTCCTCAGCAGGACACAAAAAGAACTTTAAAACTAGGAGGCAGTACATGGCGAAAAATTCGACGAGAAAACGAATCGTTTGCAAGTCGGCTTGTTGCGACAAAATATAAAAATTTCATTTGAAAAAATGATAGAAAAGGAACGAAATTGAGTTGCAAATTACCTTTGCCCAGCAACGAATGTAATGGAATTGTTTACTTTATAGGGAATCTTAAGAAGATGCTCCATTTTAGTTCAAAACTAACAAGAAAACTTTGACTGCTCTGAATCTGACGTTCGCACTACGCTTTGCCCGCACAAGTGCACGTGGTTTTGGAAATTCGGGAAAGTACCCAAGTGTCTCTTGTGGCTTACCGTTAGCTGCATTAGAATTAAGAGAGTGATTACCCCTTGAAGCAATTTTAAAGTGGTTGACTTGAGAACTCCTAAATCATGTCTTTTTTTTTTTCTAAACAGAGAACTAAAGATGAGGTGCACTTTAAGAAGATTGAACTGCTCACAGCGTGTGATTTTCTGAAGTTTAGACAAAGGCGAGGTCCTGCAACCTGTAACCCCCTCACCATTTGAGAGATTTTTTTTTTCAGTCAACAACAAACTTTGTAATTAAGGTGATAAAACCGAGTATATCTTAAAAAAAATAAGAATACCGTTACGGAGATTTGTATGGGTAAGTGTATATGCTACATCACAAGTTATCGAAAACTGAACATTTAAATACACATGGAGTATATCTTGTAATGAATTTGAATAGTGGTACAGAACTTTTTATGGGAAGGGTATGTGCTATATTACAAGTCAATGGAGATATTTAATTATCAACAATTCACATGTAAACTAGGTTATGTTTGAGATCATGTACGCTCTTGTCACCGGGCTATTTTTTCTGTAAGAATAAAACTTATTACTTTTGGTAGCAACTTTTGAGATCAACAATTTCCTGTAAAATTTTCCGACGCTGAAGTTTTCGAAAGGTTAGATTGGGGGCCATGAGACTTATTTTTTCTAATAATGAATTTTTACGTTTAGGGCCATTTTGGCAATTGTGAATCATCTTCGTAAACGATCTTACACTACCATTTTTATTGCATGATTACTGCGCGGCTGAAGTTTACTTTAGGTAGTAATGTAGACATTCACTTTCTTACCACAAGGATTGCTTTTTCTTAAAAATATGATTAATTTATGACTTTGCTCCCGTTTTGAAGATTAGAAATTTTCCTAGTGACGAAATGGCAACTCTGCCTTGTTCTGTGGTTTTTTACCCAATAGCTGGCAGTGAAATGGTTTCCCTGTGCTTTTAACATGAGTTCTAGACTGATAGAAAAGGGGAGAGAGAAATAAGAGTAGGACCCTGTTTTTACTTCATCCGTAATAGATAATTTCCTAGTCGACTCGTCAATATTGTCTGTCATTCCTTAGTCTCGTTGCACTCCGTAAAACATCCCATAACAAAGTTAATTAGGTTGTCCGTTCCAAAAAGAGTAATAATTTATGAGAAATTCCACCCTATCTCAGGAAATTGTCTTGTTAAACAAACGATTGTATTTTCATTGTTAATATTAACATTTTTGATCTCTTGTGGAGAAAGTTGATCAGTGGTTATAACTTGCAACACACTTAATGGCAAAACAGGTTGAACAAGGGATTCCATGGGAACTAATTTGAGACAATTAAATACCTGGAGTTTGTTTAACTGTTGTTCAACCAGCTGATGACAATTTGGAATTATGAACTGTAATTAAGCTATCCTATTTGGAGGCTTTTTCGACGAGGAAGCTTTTGGCTGTTAGAGTCCTTCGTCCGTCTACGTTTTTAAGTAAATTGCATGCAGAATTTGAAGAGCCCGTGTGAAAAAGGTATGAATAGTATCTATGTTCCTTCAATGCTTTGTCTATATTTTTAAACCATTGTTTCAGTGGTATTGATCTAAGTGAAATTACAATTTTAAAATAGATAAGTCGTCAAGTTGAAGTGAACCAAAAAACCAAAGTGGGTTTAAAAGAGAGGTTTACAGAAAATATTGAAATAGAAAAGGTGAACAAAGAGGAAAAGATGGAGCAGATAAACAATGTTATTGGTTGCGTCCTTGAACTGAGGAAACGTACATTCCACTAACGTTTACCTTTTCTTTTAAAATGAATCGAAATCAGTGTCAAAGGTTTACTGAATTGAAACAATGGGGGGATGGAAATCACGGGTGCCGGATGTTTACGGGATTATGCACTATAGATCTTTATCAGCTTGTATGGTAAGGTTTTTTAAAATGATGAAGCTTTAAATAGATTCAAAGAAGATAAAAAAATTTCCTTCTAACAATTTGTAAATAAGACAGATTGTTTTATCTTCGTTACTAGGTTAAATAGAATTTTCGTTGACTGCAATACGAGTCTGTAGTGATGAGGTTTAAGAACAGTGTACGGGTGTGTTTTCCTAGCTGTTGGTGCTAATTGGATTGCACCTGTCGCACTCCTTTTATCAAGCACATTAATGTCACAAATGAATTAAATATGCTTTGAAAACATTTATCCTTCGTCTAAGAAAGGTGTTCACCGGAGACCTAGCAATAAAGATAGCAAAGCAGGATTCTTACGACTTTGCAATGTAAGTTAACTATGACTTTGGTTAGCTTTGGGCTCGTTAAGCTATTATCCTCTTTTTTGTCTCAATACCTTTGTCTATCGTTTCATCCTGAATAATTCTAAATACTTTAACAATCAAGTTTGACTTAACTGCGATATAAGTTAGTAAAATTTTGGTTGATTAAGAAATTGGTGTCTTTTATGCCAACTATCGACAACTTAGAAATAATTTTCATTCAGCTACGCTGAAATCCAGTACACGAATTAACAAAATTCTCAAAAAGTAGTTGAGTTAAAAAATCTGCACTAGATGTGGAAATCAGACAGAAAAAACGAACGTAAACAACTCACCAAACGCCTTAGGCATCAAATATTATTTATCTCGTGCCATTATAATGAAAAACCATATAAATAAAGTTGGGAAGGTTTTTCTGATATGGTTTCTGATACGTGTAGACATGGTTTCTGATACGTGTAGAAAGTGCTATCTTTTTAAGGATTCTTTACAACTTTACCACTTGAAAGTGTGTTAAAATTTTAAGGCGAAGATATAACGTGATTACTCCGTAGAGTCAATGGTTAACAAAGGGGAGGAAAATTTCCTGTTGTGCTAACCGTTTGAAATGGTACTCCTGAAAAGAAGAGTAATGCTAATGTGCATTTCAGTTGAATGTGGTGCAACTAAAACCAAAGTCATTAAAAACAAAAACAAAAACAAAAGAAAAAGGACTTGAAATGTCAAAAGCTATTGGGGAGCTAATGAAAACTAGCTACCTGAAGTGTGGGAAGAGTGAGGGATCAAGTCGTGATGTTAATTTAGTTTTTCAATTTGATTGGTTGAGTGGCGCGACCTGTTTGAACCAATCACACAGCGAAGTAATTTATCACACCCAAACTGTTCCCGGGTTACACCTATTTCTGATTTCGTACACGGATGCTCTAAGACTAAACCTAAACTACAGCTCTTTTTCTTCTTTTAATTCCCTAACATTATTTTTCCCTATCCACTCCAAAATTTTTGTGCTTTTTCTCGGGAATGGCCCGATAAATTTGAATCAAAATCCCAATTTATACGTAAAAATCAGCAAAGTCGTCCTCATATTATTAGCTATTAAATTTCCATCTCAACAGGGAATCCTTTGAAGCCTGTTTTCATAAATCCGTCAGGCTGCTGCTGATAGTGTCTGCGTTTATGATTGTCTTCACCGCTGGTCTGTGTCGTATTGGGGGTTTTATCGGATGTTCCTTCATCATGGAAAGGAACATGGTAGACGACTACTGCCTGGTTGGACACGTCTTCGCTAATTTTTCAGCGGCAGGAGTGACGGAATGCTATAAAACATGCCAAACAAACTGTCGGTGTGTTTCGTTCAACTTCCTAAAAAGTATCAACCAGAGCAATTGCCAACTGAATGAAGAAAACAGACATACAAAGCCCGGTGCATTAAAGCCAATGAATGGATCTCAGTATTACGATCTTG